AATATATCAATCTTCTTACTGATAATAAATCACAAATATCCATCAGTGAAATTCCACAAGTATGAAGTGATTCGAACTTACATTATGTATGACGTGCATCGTGAACCACATGTTCTCGTGTCTATCAACAGACATCCCAATAAACTTCGAACTTCCAACGCAATTTCCGAGATCTCTTATTAAACACACATATTTATATCTGAAATAGAACATTGGACCATCGTTCGCTGATAATCTTATATGAGTCGGTTCCATGCTTCTTCTCTCTGATGACGCGCAACGTTCGTGAGAAGAAGAAGGCTCCTCTGTGGTTCTTCGGGTGTTATTTTTACTCGGACGCCGTGTTAATTTTAGAACAAACGCATGGCCGTTAAAATATATAACACGTTGTATGGAGTAGGTAGAAATATGTTGTAAATTATACTATAATGTCCTTTTTAAAGCTCACTGTTCGGACGAAGAGTTTTCTCGCTACATTAACTATAATTGCAAGTTGCATTTTTTGTTCTAAAACTGATGCGTTTATTATACTCAATTATCTTCCATTTAATTTAAGATTTCATGAAATGAAAATAGTCAATATGCGTGGAAGATGTGAAACTTCCTTATATGCGAAAGAAGTAGAAATTAATTTTTAGTGTACGCATATTCTTTCTATAAGGCAACCTTTTAATTTAATAAAATTATTTATCATTTAATTATCATCTTCGAGTGAAGAAATATCAAAAATAAAACACGAAAAGTTCGAGTTTTATTTTTTCAGTATCTCTTACAAAAAGTGCTTCCGGTTAGATTTACTTATTTTCTAACATTTTCAGACAATCTACGTCATTTTCAGACAATCTACAACATTTTCAGATTATTTAAAATATTTTTAAAATTTGTATAACATTCTCAAATAATTTACAACATTCTCAGACAGACCATCTACAACATTTTCAATCATCTACTACTTTTTTAGACCAACTGCAGTATTCTCGGACAATCTATTACATTTTCAAGACAACTACAAAATTTTCAGACAATCTGCAATCAGCAGCATTTTCAGATAATTCATTACTTTTTCTGATATGTATAGCATTTTGAGATAATTTAGAGTATTTTCGGGCAATCTACTGAAGTTTTACACCAACTGTAACATTCTCAGACAATCTACAATATTTTCAGACAATCTGCAGCATTTTCAGATAATCCACTCTATTTTCAGACAAATTGCAGTATTTTCAGACAAAATATTAAAGTTTTAGAACAACTGCAACATTCCCAGACAATCTACTACGTTTTCAATCCATCTACAACATATTCAGACATTTTCAGATAAACTACAATTATACAATTTGCAGTATTTTCAGATAATCTACTACATTTTCAGGCCATCTACAACATTTTCAAACAATCTGCAGCATTTTCAGATAGTCTACTATATTTTGGGACATGTATAGTGTTTTCAGACAACCTGCAGTATTTTCAGACAATCTGCTAAATTTTTAGACCAACTACATGTGCAGCATTTTCAGATAGTCTACTACATTTTCAAACATGTATAGTGTTTTCAGACAATCTGCTAAATTTATCAGATTTCAGACAATCTACATTTTCAAACATGTATAGTGTTTTTAGACAATCTGCTAAATTTTTAGACCAACTACATTTTCAGACCAACTCTACTTTCTCAAACAATCTACTAAATTTTTAGACCAACTACTACATTTTCAGACCAACTCTACTTTCTCAAACAATTTACTACATTTTCAGAACATCTATAATATTTTCAGACCAACTGCAGCATTTTCAGACAATATATAATAATCTTATACAATCTACAGCATTTTTATACAATCTACACCATCAGTTAGCAATCGCAACTGCATCAAATTTAGACAATCTGCAGTATTTTCAGACAATCTACTAAATTTTTAGACCAACAACTACATTTTCAGACCAACTTTACTTTCTCAAACAATTTACTACATTTTCAGAATATCTACAACATTTTCAGACCAACTGCAGCATTTTCAAAAATCTTTAATAATCTTATACAATCTACAGCATTTTTAGACAATCTACAGTGTAAATTCTACACTATCATTAGCAATTGCACCTGCAGCATATTTAGGCAATTTGCAACCTTGTTCAAAAGTCGCATTTCAATTTTCACTGCAAAAATGATAACGAAAGTTTTCATCTGGTTATCTGAATCAGCAGAGAGTTTTATTTCATATTTATCTTTTTCTTTATTGGCAAACTAAAGTATTTTCATCAAATCTACTCACTGCATAGACAATAATTATTATCAAAGTAAAAAAAAAACTGTCTAGTTTATCACAATGATTCCCTGCTAATATAGTACTTAATCATTCTCAAACTACTCTACGATTAAGCCTTATAAATGTTTACTGTTCTTTCTAAAGTACAATCGTTATAAATTAAATTCTATATTACATTTGAGTTCTGATAGCATCTTAAAAACCGGCTTTTTACATACGAAGTGCTAATGCACTCGGAACATAACCGTTTATATGTTTTCTTATTGCTGCACGTGGTATTACAAATTAGGAACGAAATAAAGGATTTCATGGAAATAATTTTATAAAGTTAAAGGTTATATGAATTACTGGAATTGTGGCGAATCATTATTAGTTATCGTGATAGTAAGGAATTTTATATTACTACTGATCAATATATATATCAACTTTTATCGCGGGAAAGAATAAAATTATAAAACAATAATGAAAGCATGTAAAAACATCGATTGCAAAAGAATGGTTATTAATCACACTCTAGATTACGCAGTTTCAATATAAATATTAAATATACGCAAAGTAATGTATACATACAGATAAATAATTTTATTATTTTATATATTTAATTTAAATATATTTATGTAAATATGCATTTATGTAAATGTGCAGACTCTAAGCGCCTACATGTTTGACCTGATAAGCATGACGTGATGAATATAAATGCATAAAGAAATAGGTTAATCATTATTTGATATTATTGTTTAAACTCAATAATTTCAATATACTTCCCAAATTGTTATTATATTTATTCACACGCTGGTTAAATTGATATATAATATGTCAATAGAATTTTGTAACATGAGTAGAACGAATATTAATTATGTAAATAAGAACACACTGCACTCTATATTTTTGCACCAACTTTATTTCATAAAGTTATGAAAAACCTTCCTAGAAAAGTTGAAACAGAAAACTAAACAGATTAAGATTAATACAGTGCTTTCCAACCCTTTCGAACCGCACCCACCAGAAAAAATAATTTTGTGCCCCACCTATTTTTCAAAAAATCGAATTTTATATATACTTGACTGATATTATAATACAAGAATTTAATATCATGTCAAAATATACATAAAAATAATTATTCATTAATTTTTATACCATTTCAACCAATTTTTGTATATTTTTTGGAAATTTCATTTCTGCCCTTGCGCCCTCCTAAGGTTTCGCGCCCCACAGATTGGAAACCAAGGTATTAACCAAAGTATCTTGTAATATTAAAATATAAGACACACAAATCAAAATAAAAAAAATAACTAAGTTTTAGAAAAGAAGGTAGTGTAAAAATATAGAGTATTAGGTGTTCTTAAATTTGGCAACAGGCAAAACACCTGTTATAGCTCAATGAAGATAAATATATATTTTAGACAAATATATTACCAAATTCTTCAAGGCAGTATATTAAATAAAAAAATATATTCTCTAATCTTTTTTCTTCCCGAAATTTAATTCGACATAAATGGCAAATTTAGACATTTGTCTCAAAATAATCTCTAACATAAGATTACAAAATTAATTATCAATATTGCGTTTATTGCTAAAATAGTATATCTTTTCTGCGAAAGATAATAATATCGTAAATCGTGTAATTGTTGCGCAATTTTAAACTTATTTCAATGTCACTTTAAAAAAACATAAAATTAATACTTGCAATAAATAAATAAGATAGTAATTTTACAGAAACAACTTAATTTTTTTATAGATAGTATTTTAATTTTTTCGATGATTAATAAGTAAGTTAAGAAAGTAGCATGATTATTTTTTCTATATCATTTATTCCAAATGAATGGTTTCATAATTCTTACATACGAATATCTACATATTTTTCCTTTGTTTTTAAGGTGAGCTTTCAATAGAATATATTGAATATGATACTTATTCTGACCATATAGAGTTGTACTCGTCATTGTTAGTATAATTTATTCGGAATTTTAATACGGGTTACATTTGAAAATAATGGTTGATATAACTTTGCAATCTGACCTTTTTGTGTGGGGTTAATGACATCAATGGATCAAATTTTTGGGAAATTTTCGAGAAAGAAATTTAAAATGAACCGATTGTAAGCTTAGGAGTTGATTTGGTGATAAATTATTGATAAAATTATAATTAATATAAGTGCAATCTGACCTTTGGGGTAATGACATTAATGGCGTACATTTTATAAAATAAATTTGCTAGAATCATAGTTGGAAGAAAATGATAATAAACTACTTACAAACTTAGGAGATGATTTCGTGTTCAACAATTATAGATCCAGAGCAAAAGTTCGTTAACAGTAATTCAATTTAAATATTTATTCGTATATTTATCAGGTTTAAAATTATTATCTAGTAATTTTCAAAAACTATTTGTCGTGTACTCACAAACGTCAGTTTATTATATAGAGATGCAAGAAGCAAAGGGCGTAAAGAAAAAATTATCTAGCAAAATTGTTCCTTTAAGTCATAATTCAAGAATTAAGGGTTTAAAGTTATATAGAGTGAACATCTGTTAAAATGATTGTGCTTAATACGATTTCTCGTATAATACGCCACTTTACTACTTTACGCTAGAATAAATTGTTCCTTATCCAAATGTTTTCGTACATTGAAAGGAAGAAGCGATGGGTATTAGTGAATTAATTAGTACCAAAACGTTCGCATAAGAAATACTTTATTAGATTTTTGATTAAATCTATTAAATTTATCTACTCACATATTCAAAATCACAATTGCATTCTAGTCTTCGTCAACTGTCGTGTCAAACAAAGCTCTTGTCTTTTAGTATCCCGTTTTGTTCTCTTATTCTGTTCTCGTCATCAAAAATATTAACATAGGCACTATCTTAAAACACTTATTATCACATAGTTCACAATTAAGGATATTTTAAACGAAAACTACCTTTTATTTTAAGGTATTCTCTTATAATTATTTTTAACGGTTACAAGTTTGATAGATTGACGGATAGATGTTTCTTAGGGAACCGCTCCGATGCGCGGTCGCTTCCACACTGCCAGAAGGGACCAGTTGCTTCAATCGCGATGTTCACGCCAGTTGTTCTACAACTAACGACCAGTGTACGTAGCCACACAATTCGCATTTGTGTGCGTATTGACATTGAATTTCTCACATTTTTTTGGCGGGTTATATTTTTTTTTATTAAAATAGTATATCTTACATCACATGTGCTATAAATCGATCAATTAATATGTAGTGTAATAAAAAAAATATTTGGTGTTTATTTTTAATTGACGTACAACTAACTTCACATCGTGGGAAGTCATGTCGGCAGCGAAGTATGGTAAGTTGGTTACAGATAAGATGATAACGTTGGCTTCCTGATAAAGATGGATGAATAAATGTCACTCAATGTCGTTTCAATACATATTTAAGTCTATATTTATCTTTTTAAATTTTACTAGTGTAAACAAACGAAGTTTTTTTTTTAGTTTCAAAACGCTATCAAAACTCAATAACATTATGTAAATCTGATTTATTTCTTCACTTTTAGTTTCTGTTATGTTCACCATCTTTCTACTTTCTTTTAATTTCATTGTTTAGTAAGTATACTTCGGAAATCTGAAATAACTGAAAATACACAATTATCTTTATCTTATTTGCTGTATAAAAGTTATATAAAGCATAAATCACGTTCCAGATAAATGTTTCTATTCTCTTGATTATCTATCACGGGTTTGAAAATGATAGAGCTCTCAAATAATATTATAAGGCAACCCTGAGGTTGACCATTATGATGATACTTATGATGATATTATTAATCATATTGCAACAATGCCCAGATATGCCATTTTCACTTATAATCATTTTAGATCTATTATTTCAATTCAGAACTGATATTACTACTGTTTTAGACGAAGTGGGTATCAAACATAAAACCTGAGGTTGCAAGTTCAAGCTCTTGTAACAAAACCACCACAAGTTCTATGAGAACTTACCTAAGCTTCATATAATTTGATTCGATAAATAGTTAATTATATTTACAGAAAGTATTTATTTAATCCCAGAAACTAATGGGATGATAACGAATTCAATTTATATTTTATATCAACGCAAGTATCAAATAATTATACAAGAATATATATATATATATATATATATATATATATACATCGTTGTAATTTTTATATATATATATATTGCAACCTCATATATATATATATATATATATATATATATATATATACATCGTTGTAATTTTTTTTGGATCACCCTATTTTTATATAGAGATAGGGTATCTAGGCTAGGGGATGTTGAACCTTCAAAAATGCATAGTAATAATTGTTTTTTGTATACCATACAAAAGCATTAATAGTATTTTTTCGAATATTCTTATTATTATTAGCTAAATAGAGTTAGGCGATGCAGCAATTAGAATCATTTGTTTGTTAGTATAAACACAGCCAATGAATCACATATAAACACTAATAATTTATACCATATATCTACAATTTATAGACACTAATTATAAGTCTGAGCCATTAAATTTGTTATTGACATGGTGAACAAAAAAAGTAATTATAGTCATAAATTCACGAAGTATCTTTTTTAAAAATTTTACTAGGTGCTAAAAAAAACACGTGATGTTAGGTGGGGAAGGTGGTTGGTAATTTTAAATATTACTAAGGAGGAGACGAGATCCAAAAATCCTTAAAAAGCAATCACGTGTTAAATAGAAAAAATGAAAATTGGACTTATTTGTCCTTAAGTGAAATCCAAGGATTAAGTACACAAAGGATTTAAAGTATAATTCTTCAATTTATAGACGATATCTAGATTTATATTTGTAAAAATCGATAAAAATTACTAACAAAATATAATAAATTAAAACAGAATTTTGTAAATAAATTGAAGCTAAATATATATTTTGGTGTAGTTTCTATATATACATTGTCGATTGCATCTGAAATAACAAATACGGTACGCACGTGTTTTAAAAGTACGTGATGGTCTGATCGATGCCCTTTTATAGCAAACAAAGTCATCAAAACTGCAATTAATTATTACATTTGTTTGAAACTACGAATGTCTACTGCCTTTTCATATTTACTATCTCTATTATCTTCTCAGTACATCCTGGAATAAATAATTTGACTATAAAACTTTTGTGGTCGGGATGTAAAATGCTTTTTCTCAATAATTAATATTGATTTTAAGTTCAACATCTTGTACTTCCAAAAAGTTATCTTCTTTAAGTATACGAAAATATATCTGCAAATTTTATTCACAAACATCTTTTATATTATTAAAACACTTTTTGTTCCAGTGTTAACTTCAAATTGAAAACATCTCTATATTTCTTCGTGAATCATATGTTTCCATTGAAAGTACTTATTTACAATACGATTTCTGCTTGGAATTTGTTTGAATTCCACAACTCATGAAGAAGAAATCTCAATTTAAATATTCTTACTTGTTTTGTTATTTTTGCTGTTATTTTATTTTTGTTTTCGGAAAAAATGTGTTTAGAAAACTGAAGCATTTGCTTGTGATATATTGTATTTTTAAAAGAAAAATTTAGTAAAAACAAAACTAAGAATGAATAATAAAGAGGTAATATATAAATAATATTCAGTCAACTTTAGAGTCTTTTGATCTTGGTTAGCATATTTGTACTTGATATATTTTTATTATTATAATATTCCTAAATATCTTCAGTACTAGATTTATATTTTGAACTGATATTACTGCTGCTTGATATAAGATCAAAGCTTTTGTCACAGAGCCACGGGAAGACCCTTATAATAAATAGAGAAGAAATATGTTTTTGTTTTAATTTAAAATCCTTTTTTGCAGATCAATAGTAAAATATTTTATTTAACATAGTTTTTTACCAGAATATTATCGTCGCAGTGCATATTTTTATTTCAAGGTCTGAATTCATAGTTTCCGACATAAGTTAGATAGCTTATTGAATTTGTTATCATCCCATTAGTTGATGAGACTAAATAAATATTTTCTGTAAAATTCAAATTACTATTTATTTGTTTAAAAATCGAATCAAATTATATGAAGCTTAGGTACACGACAATATCTCTTGAATCTTGATCAATCTCATAGAACTTGTCGTGGTTTTGTTACAAGAGCTTGGTCTTGCAGCCACAGGTTTTATGTTCGATACCCACTACGTCTAAAACAGTAGTAATATCAGTTTTTACTTGGAATAATAGATCTAAAATATGATTACGAGGAAAAATTGCATATCTGCGCATTGTTGCAATATGTTTGTATATAACTATTTAAAAAAAAAATCACCATCATCATAAAGTGAATTGCCAACCTTTGGGTTGCCTTCTATTTTGAGGGTTTACATCACAGCAGCTCATAGGACACGTAGTTCTGATAATAAAATATAAAATATAAAATGTTCTCTTTATGTCCTTGTATATTTTTTTTTATTTCGGAAGACTAGACAACATCGAACTTATCAATTACATATTTCAGTTCAATGATAAGATAGCGAAGACGACAGTAGAACACATTATGTGCCAATTTTTGGGAAAAAGGTTATGCTATTTCATTCACTGATTATGCAAGAAATATAAAATTAATTTAGTTATCAATATTAATTCATTATCTTTCATTAAATACTTTGATTAGCTCATAATTTTGTTTTAAAACCTTGCACTTTATCTATTGCGGTCAATGAAGGAATGAGTCAGGTGAATTTAGATCAATTATATAGTGATATAAATTAATATCTGAGTAATTTGCAATAGTTATATTATGTATTCAGAAAACACTAATTAGTAATATCTTATAAAATAGGTATTACAAAATAAGTAGAATTTATTCTTTTATATAATAAATAAGAAAAAAAGTTACAAGGCTTCATTAATTTTATAATGTTACGGCAAATTTTATATGCATTTAAGTTGTGACAAACATTATTTTGTAAATATTTTAAAAAATGCAATTGTATTTTAGTTGCAAATATATATGCATATTTATATTCTCACATTTGCATAATAATTGTAATAGAGTTGTTTATATTTATAGCTTGTATTCGGTTTATTATCATATAAAGGATAATAAACAGATAATTTTGTTTTTATGAAGTATAAATTCATATAGGTGTGAGTGGCATTTTGTCTTGAGGCAATTACATTTACTCTATGTTTTATCATGTGCAATTTTATCTATCTAGGCTAATAATTGGCATTTGAAAATAATCGTCCAAGTGTTCATTATTTGCAGAACAGAATGCTAAGTGATCACCTGTATGTATTTATTAATAATTGTGCTTATTACAATGTTCAATACTGACAAGGTTGTCAATTCGTTCAATAATTAATGAAAATTAGTTCACACGACATTGAATGTTCCCACCTACGTTAAACTATTGTTAGTCCATCTACTTTTTATATCAAAATTTGGAAAATGATCTAAACCTTTGAGAAAACGAGGAATTTGGTGAAATCAATTTGTGAAAGAGGAGATCAACTTGTCTTATGCCTTAGTTATGTAACCCAATAAATATTACTTTATTTTTATTTCTGAAATTTCTCTTGGCATCTTGCCAGCATTTCAAAATAGTTGATGCTAAAGTGAAAAATATTTAAAGAAAGGCATCAAATAATTCTGAAGTCGATTCACGAAACTGACGCAATCATCATTGATATTACATATGACATCTTTCATCTTTGCCATACAAATTAGAGACTTTGACATAATCCTCGCAATTGGAGAATCGTGCCTGGATAATAATAACTTCTTGACGATTGAAGAAATTATTGACAATATTAATCAATAAATGCAGTAAAATATATAATAAAATCCTTTGATTTTTATAGCCAAGCTGTTATCATAAGGAATTTAGCTGCTGGTGAATTTAGGCTATTTCTTGATGCAGGTACATCAAAACTATGATACAAAGTTTAAGTTTTTTTGGAAAGCTAATAATATTTACTATATCAATTTTCTGAAGAAGAGAATAAACCATGTCATAGAAACATGGAGATAAATATAATTAAACATTTAAACAAATATTTTTTGGATACAAAAGTGCTTATGTCCCCATTCGTGTGCCCATTTAAAACAGTTCTATTCTTTAATTATTCAAATTACATCGAAATTGAATTGATAAATACTGCAAAATGAATTCCGTAAATTTCGTACGTGCTAACAAAAAGTAATTTCTAATATATGCTAAAATGTTTGCGTGAATTACATAGCTTAATATTTGCATAGTCTTGAATATAAAACTAAAAATAGTAAAATAACAGAACAAAAGTTCAATAGTAATCGAATTTGAATGGGAAATATTGGTCATTGACGCATGTGAATTAATTTGTAGTTAATAAAAGAACCTTGCATGGTGGCAGAGTAGATAGTCAAAACTAACTCGTGCAAAATATTATAGGCCTGTAAGAAGTGGTTTAATTATAAAAAAATATTAAAGTTTTGAAAAATAGGCAGCGCTCTATATTGTTTAATCCGGTCCATTTATATCACATCTAAGATTATTATGTAAGATTAATTTTCTCCCTGATTATCTCTATTTTGCCAAAATATGGGTCCCCATTTACGGTCCACAGACTGCCACTTTGCCATCATTGTCATTGAGTCATTGACATTTTAATAAATATTATCAAAATTTCCAATTGCATACACGTACCTCAACAAAGATGTTATTAATTAAACGTAACCAGCAAACATTATAATTAGTAAATAAAAAATCCTCATATTGAATGATCACCATTGTAGATTCGGATTAATCAACAATGAAATATGCTCTATTGATCTGTGTAATTATAAATAAATGATTCAGAGTCTAAAAAGATTTTGTGGATTAAAATTTGCTGCATAATTTAAGATTCCATGGAATAAAAATGATGATGGAATAGGTAACACCAGTGTTTGAGTACTGGTACCAGAAATGGGTGTTTTTGAATCCATATTCTTGAAGTGAAATTTCATATGGTTAACCAATTTAAAATATTATCTGTATTTTGAAAATACCACAAATGTGAAATACATCATTTTTGTCTTTTTATTTATTTAATTGATCTCAGAATAAAATATTGATCATACACAAGCATTTTACCACACTTTGATTTACCATTATGTATTTATAGTAGCAAATATGTGCTCTATGAAAAAAATTATTGGTAGTTAAATTAATATATATTATTTACTTATTGAAACATAATTTAACTAAATAGTTTTTATAATATGAGACTCTGTAAATTTTAAGTATCACTCATACAATAGTTCAATAATAAATTATTCAAAGCATGACGTACGGTTATAAGTTCATCTTTGGGTTAATTCATATGCGCATAAGAATACAATGCCTTTAGTCATGAATTGCATTTGGTAGATTTTTATATATTCTAACTATTCTTCCGCATTTTTATAAACCTAATTTTTATATTTTTTAACTATTCTGGAAGTTTTGAAAATCGACACCTGGAAAAAATGGTAAAATTCCTGTAGGAGGAGAAGTAATTTCGTCTACCATGATCAGTAATGTCTTTCATGTAAATAGTAATTAAAATATGAACCAATTAAAATGACATTATATATGTATAAATATTTATATAATTATTATAATTGCCATGTAATTTAAAGATACTTAATTGTTATGGGTTATATGAATATAATCAAGATTTTATTTGCACCATGTATTGTAAAATCTGTATATTGTTTTTAAAGGAGCGAATAGTGTTTTTCAGAAGATAGATTTTTTATAATTTATAATATATTTCTATTTTAATTTCAGAGACTTATCGTATGTTAGCAGCTGTATCTTTTGCTGTGACTTTAATTGTAATTGGAATTCCACTGTGGTGGTATACAACAGATGTATACAGGTAAATTTCTTGGAAATTCTTGGAATTTTCTAATTTTCTTTACTGGAAATTAACAAAAGCTCTAATAATAATTTTTTAACTTAACCCAATTATTAAGAGTCATGTACAAATGCAAATAAATGAAATCCAAATAAAAAATACTAAAATTTATTTTATTTTAATATTTTGAGCTATACTGTAAGCCTTAGAAATAATCCTATCTTTATTATTAAATTATTAATGAATGATTTACTTTAATAGGGTGCCTTTGCCATATTCTGGCATAGATGAATTAAAAAATATCAATTTTCAAGTATCTTTAAATATTTACGTTGCCTGTCGAGAAGATTATAGAGCCGATTTACTTGTAGAAGAATTAGACAATAAATTTACAAAATCAGGTAAAAATCAAGAAATCTACTTCTAACATAAATTCTAAAATGATGAATAAACAATCTTTTTTTATTATTTTCAGATTTATTTAATATAACTTTTAAACGAATTATAATACCATTAGAACTTCTGCAACATTCTAAAACTCCTGCAATACTAGAAAATGCTCTTTTGAAGAATATAGATGTTAAAGTGGGTGATTTTATTTTTATTGAATGGTATGCTCTGAAAGATGAAATTTTGGTCACTTCGGATAGATCTGCATATTTCTCTCCAGCAACAAGTTAGTATAATAAATTAATGTGTAAAGTAATTTATGAAAATGCATATGATTGTTATAGTAAAACAATAAGTACTCTCAATAACTACCAGGTTTATTTCTTTGAATCGTAGGAATATACATGATGATTTATATTTTTTTATGATTTGAAACACAATGCAAACACTTATTACAGTGCTTATAGATCAATAAGAAACATCCTGACTTCAAAATTAAATATGAGGTATTAAAAGAATATTTCATTTAGAGCACTTTGCACTCTATTTCTAAGCCATCTCCTTTCATTATGACTACGTCATTGTTAGATTTCTCTCGATCAGATTTTTCTTGGTCAGATTTTTCTTGGTCAGTTTTTTCTTGGTCCGATTTTTCGGCAGGATCATGGTTTTCCTGGAGGTATTTTTGCTCTGGAATGAGTGTTTCATTATTAGTATCAGCCGCCGATGTTAATTTTTCGAACATTTTGTATGCTGATAGTCGTCTAGCCTTTTTCTTTGAACCAGCTGTTCCACTTTGCTCAAACGATCCAACAGAGCACTTTATTGTGAATTGTCTTGCCTGATGTGGCCCCAGATAGTCAGTTATGATAAACTCAGGAGCAGGTAATTTTTGGACTTCACAATGATCTTCTAACTTGTTAATTATATCATAACCAAAACACTTCTCAAAGTTTTCTAATTCAATGTCCTTTGATGGTGGATTAATTTCAGTTAAAAGTTCAGTAAGCTTTTTAATCGCCGATCTGGCTGCATTTTCCTTAGCAACTTTTCTTATTTTGTTGCTTCCTACAACTCTTATATCATTTTCTTTGTACTTCAAAGTAGTTTCATATACAAATAATGTATTGTGCGTATTCGTACTCTCGTGGACTAAGTTAAATTTAGGTTGTATTAAATGAATTGCACATAATTCATACAAGCTATTTACTGGTGATTTTTCTGCCATTGCATAAAATCAATGATATATCAGAATATTACCGTGTCCTATTTCTGGTTTCTCGTTTTTTTATCAAAATGTATTGCCTTGCTTTTGCAGGATCCGAATTATGATCAATCTTGCGTTTAATAACTTTGATAACCACGAAATAATGAAACTAAATTATTTAAACTAATGTTCTAAATAACTGAGCATTTGTTTTGAAAATAAAATTTCTTCAAAGCTTGCTTAAAATGAAATTTGTCATCAACAAAAAACAAATACTGTTCAATGTATAAAATATCTGATAATTTTATGGCCTGGCTGGAGTATAATTTGGACAATATGTTAAATGGATTAGAAATGTTATATTTTATATACTCCCATAGGCCTCTACACTTATTAATTGTATCATTTTTATTTTCTTTTTTTTTTAATTTTTATTTACGGAAGTCAAAACTAAAATACTTTACATCGAATAAAATGATTATATATTACATAAAATCTAATGAATATTGAAGAATTAAATCATAACTTAAAGTTATAACGATCAAACTTTTTTTATATTATACTATTTGTTTCTATTTTTATTAGGTTCTCATAAAATAGCAACAGTATTAGGAGAATGGATTTTAGGTGAAGATTCCTTGAAAACTACATTGAGCTTAATGCGCTCTCATTCTGATAATCAGCGTACTTTTTCACCAGCCAAAGGTGATTTGGAGGAAATCAATGGAAAAGGTAAAAAAAAGTTATATCAAGTTGTGAATTGATATGTTGTGTATTCAAAAAAGTATTCCGATATCAAATCCTGGAAGATTAACAGAGGCAATATGGACAAAATAATAAAAATATAATACAGCTAAGGTTTTTAGTTGCACATCTCTATATTTACTCATTATTAAGTGTTAAATTTCGATTGAAATTACTAAAAGTACGTAAAATATTTAAGTTTTCATTTATTTATTTAAAATTATTTTCAGGAAAGGCTTTCTATTCCAATAATATTCAATTGGACGCAAATGCACGTCGACGAGTACCACCATCTTCCGCCTACGACGTTATGATCACCGTTGTCAATCCAAATCCAGAAGAATTAACAGCTGATTTAGACATAAGAAGTGCAGCTAATGGTAAAAAAATAATTTATACATGATGAAAAAATTTAATTTCAATAATGCAAGTTATTTGTTGTAGATTACATCGTACCTTTTCTCAATGAATTAAGCTCTTTAGCTAATTTTACTGTGAAGTCTCAATGGCTGTACTTCTTGGAACTGGATTATAAACCAAAACAAGTAAGTTTCCTATTCGAATAATACTATGAAGATTTTCTAAGACTATATTATAAGCTTCTTTGCAAAAATCGTCTTTCAGTTATATAAAATCTTCAACTGTTACAACGGTTTATAAACCGTTGCATTCAAATATTACAATATTTATTATAACCTTTAAAGGTGATTGACTCCAGCATTTTGCGTCGACATTTTGCTCTACCAGAAGAGATCCTGCCACATCTTATAACACCTCTGGAGAAAAAACTAGCCTCACATGTTTCCAATAATCCATGTTTGAATTTAGTCATTTACTTACCCAGCTGCAAAACAGCTCCTCTGCATATATACACAAAAAGCGGTAATTATATTAAGTTGAATGATTTATGTATAATTCATTTATTATTTATCATCTATTATTAGGAACAAGAGCGAAATCCAAATCTGGTGTAGATGCATTTCTGTCACCGCGTTGGGGAGGTGTTGTAATATCGAATCCAAGTGTTTCAATATGTGAAAATGCTCTTATACAAGACAACACCCACGTTACTTTTAAACCAGACACATCATTAATTATGGGTACATTCTTGCACCAGCTGAGATTATTATTGGGAATAATGGATAATGTGAGATATCCAATAAAATTATTGATACACATTGATACATAATAATAATATTTGGAATTGTGTTATTATAGAGTGCAATCAGTGGTGCTTCAATAGTAGAATTGGAATCTTTGTCACCTCGCTCATGGGAATTGGATGCTCTAAAACGAGTCAGAACTTTGGAGCATCTCACATCAGCAAGTTTAACTTTGCAATCAATAGCACAACTATTAGGTAATAATTCATAAATTTGCTAAATCAAGAGCGATGTATGTAATTGTAATCTCAATCACAATTATTTACAGATGAAATAAACAATATAGTAATTAATGATGATATTGGAGAATCCATTATTGTAGCTTTGGAAGAGTGCCATATATCAAAACGGTATTTGGAAGAAGGATTATTGGATGAAGCATTCAAGCATTCAAAAATAGCATTTACTTTATCAGAATTAGCATTTACAGATCAAAGCTTATTGGCGTTATTATATTTTCCAGATGATCAGAAGTAAGAAATCATTGTACTGTGCAATAAATGAATGGATGATACTTGATAATATAAAAATATTTCTTTCAGGTATGCAGTTTATATCCCATTATTCTTACCGATTATGATTCCCGTAATTTTATCATTCGGGACTTTGAAGCGCTGGTTGCAAATCTTATATTTCAACAAAGAGAAAACAGATTAATATCAATTAAAACTTTATTCTACTTATTTTTAATTTTATAAATGATCAGGTATGCCGAAAACTTCATAATATTTAAAAGATTTACTTAAGTGATAAAATGTATAAAGAACTTTAAGTTTAATATGTATAATATTGTCAATGATTCATTAAATTGTGTGCATGTATGTTTACATAAATATGTGTATTTGGAAGAGTGCATATCGTTTATTAAACTTTGTATATTAAAAATAATATAATGTTTTAATATTGAGCTTCATAACTTTTATTTATGGAGGATAAGTTTATGCTTTCACCAGAAAAGGTGATTTATTTCATGTTTTCGACGTTTCGGTCATTCAGAATCTTTCAACATTAAAGTTGGAAAAGTATGTAAGGTAAATGTAAACTACAATGGGATAATTCATTATTCTGGGATTACAATATATTCATATCGGTTGTATCCTGATCACCATTTAAAATATGGTCTTGTTGTTAATAAAATTTGGAGATTATTCATCATCATTTTTATATTTTAGGATTATATGCTAATATGGCTTGTTGCTAACAGTTTTGCACTGCATGTAATTTATTTAATTAGCAAAACCATTCGATCAATAACAATCAATTCCTAATAAATTATGATGGTTGAATGTATTTTTAAAAATGGTTTTAATTCAAATCAGAATCTAATGAGAGATGAATTCTAATGAGAGATAAATTCTAATCAGATCAACTCAATTTACCGTTCAAACGATTCAATGTGACCATTTGACGTTTGGAGGTTAAAACTTTCTCTTAAAAAACTTAGGTTAAGTTCTATGCCAAAGAATTAATTAATATTTTCATCTTACGGGTTCCAATTAGTTTATTATAATGAGTGGATGTAAATTATTTCGAAGAATACTATATCTTAGTCAAAGAACAATTTCAAACACCAGTTTTGCCTTAGCACCCTCGGAGTATGTTCCCAAACATTCTCCTGTTATGCAAGCTGATGTGCTAAAACTAGAAGATTTTCTATTTAAACACAAGAAAATCTTAGTCCTCACTGGTGCAGGAATTTCTACAGAATCAGGTAATATAGAAAATATTATATAGCAGTTGGGGATATAGAATCTTGTTAGAAGGATAAATGAAAAGTTACTTACCCTTCAGTTTAACTGGATACCATTATTTATTCCAATTTATAATAAAATTCATCCACAATAATGAAACATTTTCCATTTAGGTATTCCAGATTACAGATCTGAAGGAGTTGGATTGTATGCAAGATCCGATAAGCGACCTATTGTAATACAAGATTTTTTGAACTCAGAAGATGTGAGGAGGAGATATTGGGCAAGAAATTATATTGGCTGGCCAAGGTTTTCTTCTGTTGTGCCAAATGCTACACATTATATTCTAAAGGAATTAGAAGAGGTATTTTTGTCTGGTAATAATCCTTGTATGGAATCACTTTATTTGCTTTGAATGCTTCATTCAAAGACTACACTATACATAATATAATATTAATATTTTACATTGCTTTATTTACAATTTATATATTTATAATTATTAGTACAACTATGATGTTTTTATCCGCAGACAAATAAAATATCTCACATTGTAACACAAAATGTAGACAGATTACATACAAAAGCTGGTTCAAAACGAGTAATTGAATTGCATGGCTCTGCATTCACTGTCGAATGCTTGGGATGTGGATCCACAGTTCCAAGACACGATATTCAAAAAGTGTTAATGTTACTAAATCCAACAATGAGAAACTCTTCCAACATGATCAGACCAGATGGTGATGTGGAATTAACAGACGTAATTCTCATATTACAATTTTATTATATTATTAAGATGAGATTAAGTTAAATATTATATTTTTTAGGATGAAGTGAATAATTTCAAGCTTCCTTGTTGTGTGGAATGTGGTGGCATTCTAAAACCAGAAATAGTATTCTTTGGAGGAAATGTTCCTATGTCAAAAATTGAACACGTAAACCAGCTTGTTGAAGAATGTGATGCCCTCTTAGTTCTTGGATCTAGTCTTACAGTCTTCTCAGGTTATAGGTTAGTTCTTGTCGCACAGGAGTTGAGGAAGTCTATAGGTATCATTAATATAGGTCCTACTCGTGGTGATTCTAAAGCCACTTTAAAGATTGACGCAAATTGTGGAGATATTTTAACAAAAATTTATATACCCAAATAACCACATTGAATAGTATAGGTAATTGATTGTTCTGATTATAAATTAATATTAATCTTCACATTTTGCATAGTATAACATTTAAATATCATAGAATTCCAATTTTAATGTGATATAGTTGCGTTCATAACTGGCAGTACAAATAAACATATAATAGTAATATAACACAATAGGAATTAAGATAAACCTACACTTACAAACTCTTGTAGGTATAATTATTTTTGATAATAGGCAATGTATTTAACATATTGACATTGAGCTTTTTGCGACTTATTTTTCATTAGAATCATTCAATTAATCCTTTAATTCAAGGCATTCATATAGTTATACTATGAAATGTTTATTTTACAATTAAAATAATTTCTAATAAATAAATTTTATTTAATAAGTCAATATGTTAAAAATATCTTTATAAAACAGTAGGTTAATTATGAATAGAGATTTACAACTGGTGATCATTTGTGTAGATTTGACTAATTAGGTTGATTTTCACATTTTTGTGAATTTATTTTTATATCATTACTAAATGTTTTGCATAACATTTTATTGATATTGATTCATACCATGAATCAGTTCTTCTAAAAATTTTTATTGAATAGATGCTTGAACCATAACTCATCTAATTAATTTAATTGGCAGTTTTTCCATGCACTTTTATGAATACTCAAGAAAATATAAAACTGCATATAAAGCCAATAGAAATTAATGAAGGAATGAAAATTTATTAGTTATGTTTGACCTCATCTAGTCCGTTGACTTTGGTTTAAAAATATAACGTAATTGAGTTACCAGTATGTTATATGAAGAAACCAGTTTTTTCTCAGGTTAGTAAGTTATATTCTTGTTTGTTTTGTTAATCAATCAAACAACTTTGTTTTACTGATAGTTCTCTAAAACTGATTAATAATAAGCCTCCCCAGTGAGTTGATGTCTTCATAGTAATAAAGTGCTCTTAATACTCCAAGTTTTATTTACAAAACTAGTTTTTTTTGTAAATTGTGCAAATAATAAATGTTACTGTTCAAATGTATGGTTTTGCTTCATGTATTATGTTTCATTCATTTTTATTACTACAGAAAATTTGTTGCCAAACAGCAAAATGAATTTAAGTATTATAAAAATTTGTAGATTATCCTAAAGCTGAATTAACATTCTTATGCATTCTATAAGTAGAAGTTAGAAGTAAGAAATTAAACTACATACCAATTTTTCAATTTCTATTTATATAAACAGTATAATATATATGGCTAGAAGAAAATTTTATAACTAACTTTCATAAGTCTATCAAGTTCCTTATAATACAAGCTTAAGATTTATTTGGAAGCTTTTTGGCTAACATCCATTGTGAATCTCGACAGTCCTTCTAGTAAGCCTACATATGCAGAATGTTCATAGACGGTACTGAAATCAGCAATTTTCTCTGCGAATTCATTAGTGATGCCTTTCTCCTCCAATAAATTCATTAGTAAATCATATAAATACTGAAACAATGTAATAAATTAGTCAATATATATTTATATATTGTTTTGTTATGTCTAAACTTACTCCATCTAAGACATCTCCTGCTACTGCATATGTTTTGTCATTCCATTCTCCTTCATACATCGTTACTTCATCAATTCCAAATACATCGTCTGAAATGGAATCAACTCATTAAAACAAAAATAAACTTTCTATAAAATTCAATTGATTAAAAGGATGTTACATTAGATATGAGGATTATTAATGAAGGAGTTATATATAAAAGTAAGGATCTAGAAGGATACTTATAGAAGATTATAATTTTAATATAATATAGGATTAGGAGAAGGAACACACATTTACTGTAGGCATCTGTTTGCAAGCTACCACCTGTGGCATCAGGTTCCTGCATGAAAGAGCATGTGAAACTTAATGTTTTTCCATTTCGAATAATATCAACTTCAAAAGTGGGACGGCTCTTCATTTCTGCAAAATCTGGCTTATCCATAGTTGGATCAATTTGTGCTTCTCCTTCTGCATCCACAGTGTGGTTTACGTTGAAACTAACTTGTATACTAAAAGAAAATTGGATCCATCATTGAACAAAATCAGAAGATGACATAGACATTACATTGAAAACTACTAATAACAAAAAATAAGCAATTTATTTTGCATTACCATTCCAAGCTAGTATCTTTTGTAAGTGTGACTTCAGCACCATCCAATTTGACTTTGAACCCATCGAGTTCTGAGGGAACATTTTTGATTTTCTGTGCTTTCTTCTCGGCAACAATTTCTTCACTAAGGAACTCAGCCAATTCCTTTTCTCCTAAAGGTAACAAATCATGAATGTAGTTTATAACCCAATGTTTTTGATTTGAAGCATATTAATATAAGTGTAAAGCATGGAATCAATATACATTTTAGGTGATGATTTAAGTAAGATTATTTAATAATTTAAATATTAAGAATGAGGAGTGCAAGATCTCCAATTCATTGCGCAATCGATTTGCCGCTAACCTCAAAATCTCCTATCTCAAAAGTGATTTACCTTTCGTGTGCATAAATTGTACATTATGACTACTGCATTCTAGTTGTCCTTTCCCCAATAAAGGCTTTGTTTTTGGTTCTACAACTGATGAATTACACGTGCTCCATAATAGCCTGCACGATTTTCCGACACTGTTGTTTTTTAAAGGATTTACTAAATTCTTAAAAGTATTAATACTCAACACTGATTTCACTATTCCGTTCATGGTGTAAATGTGATGTTATAAATACACGTTAAGTGATTATGTTAAAACAGTGGAATATCGACTTTTAAACGAAGTTGATATGAATCCTTTAAACCTGCGTAAATGAATTCACAATGAGGGACTCAGCATAGCAATGGTGGCGAGCCTGAGTTAAAACAAGGGCATCATTTTCAAAGTTTTAATAAATAATTAAAATTGTTCGAAATCAGCGAATTAAATAACATAATTAACGTATTGATATAAATATAAATAATTCTGTTATATTCAACATAGATGATTAGAGAGAAAAAATAAATTTAGATCGCTGATATACCATACGTGATTGGCATTCTCCTCGACTCCAGTAACATTTTTATTACATTATAATATATTTGATACTAACAAATTATTGAACCTGTAAAATAAATTTGATTTTTTATAAGAATTTGCTTATTACATCTATTATTATTCACATTTAAAACTATACTTTTCATAATTTTTAATAAGCCCGCTCATTTTACACATTTGATTCAACATGAACTAATACAAGAAAGGCTACCAACACAAAATATGATTAAGAGAAGCAAAATTTTATACTTATAATATTATGAAGTATAATATGAAAAAGTTGTAAGAAAAAAGATTCTTTTAGAACCATTATTAATAACTCTTTTATATTAAAACAACTTAAATATTTTATTTCAAATATTTTATTTTATTTTACCATAACCTGTCTGAACTTTTCGATCTTTAGTTGGAGAGGGAGGTCCTGCTTGACACATGACATAATGTCAAAAACTTCAATCGTGTTCATTGCAAAATAATTTTATATAACATTTAAAAATTATATTGTGGGAGTAACACGGTTCGTAAAAAGTTGTGAATATTGGTGACAATAAATATAGTTATTTTGTGTGATCGCGTTTAGGTAAGTTCTTATTATTATTGGAAGTTTTGAATTTATTTATTCCTGTATATTTTATTTTGTGTCTTTATCCTGTATTTTTTCATGTTTTATGAATGGTAATGGTACGGGAATTAATAACATTAGAATCGAAACATTTGATTATACTTTATCTTACCACCGATATATACTTTATATATGTTATTATAATTTTTGCGATATACTGAATTTAAAGCTAAAATATATTTTCTTAAAAAATTTGAAACATTTATATACTACAAATTACTTATTTCATCGTTTTTTAGTGAATAATTTTTATCTGTCATAATACACAACATATGCCATAGCATGTCATTTAAAATGATTAGTTCTTGACTGCATAGTTTTTATTACAAATATAATATATTTTTACGATATAAGCAATTATATATGTTACAAGGTTATGCGTTCTAAAATTTACCCAATAATTATATAATTTCCTACATATATCTGTTCGAGTTATGTTATTTTTGAACTTATTAGCTGGCCAAGAAGTATTTATAAATATACTAGTTCTCCAAACAGATGAATGTTTTACGCAAAACTTATTGTTTTATTTAATTTGAAATAATGATCTTAAGATATAATTTTGTTCAGTTTCTTTTTTTTAAAGTCGTCACAGAACATATATTATTCAATGGACGAGGTTATTGAATGAGAGTCAATTCATAAAATTAGGCAGCTACATGTAATCATTGTTCTTTTTTGTTAATGGAACAATTGAAAAGATAATTTAAATGTGGGGTAGATCGACTTTAAGGTCCATATAAAAAATAACAATATTTAACACAAAAATGTTATCTATATTACATATAATAAACAGTATTTGTATATTGTTTATTTCTCAAATATTAAATGTCAAAATTAATCAATATGAAATTAGCTAATGTTAATTTTTTTTCTTAATGTTGTTATACTTATTATCCTTAACGTCAAATTTTTAGCTATATTAATAGTAAACAATTTGAAGTAGCCATTTGTATTTTGGGGTTAGAAGTTACTTAAGATGTTGCAATTGTTTATTGTTATTTTATTGATGAATACTTATTTAACAAATAAAGTGTTAGTTAGTAAAAACAGTTTCAAAGTTACAGAAAGTGACAATTCTATTATGTGATTAAATAAGTTATAAAATCATACTAAACTGACAGGAGGATTCCTAGCAACATGCCGAAAGATTCAGATAAGTTATTATTCAATTTCTAGTTTGCTCTAATTTCAAATTCCAATTTATCATTCTTCTTGCATAAGAATTTTTACGACAATGCGTGATATTATGGAATTGATCCCACGTGTTCGAGACCATCTCGAAAGTTCAAGGGGGCAACGCGAGAAATATATTCAAGCGTCAATATTAAAATTGCAAATTCATTGTCGACACTCAACCAACTGGAATCTAACTACGTATAAATATTTACATTTTGAATGGCTGTTTTTTATTAATGCTTATTTAAAACTACGAAATGTAGCCTTAAAGAACAATTAATAATACATATGTTGACTACAAAATTTAGCAATCCTTAACATGAACGTCAATTCGACAGTACAAAGATTGCTATTAGAGATTACTCTTAACAAGTAGCAAATTTACATAATTTGCTAAACATTTCGTGTTTTCTATGTCATTTAATTTACGTAATACATGAATATACAATGTTTATCTTTTACTTACTATTTTTTTTATTTTTCTCTAAAACATGCTGGTTTTAATTATTGGAATTGATTGATTAATCATTTAAAACCGAATAGGAGTAAATTTTTTCAGACAAAACCCTTGCAAATTAATTATTGATTATTATACTCGATCAGTTACGGTTTATGCAGTAGTTATCTTCTATATATATAAAAATAAGTCGGGTTTTCCTTCCTGACGAAATAACTCCAGAACGCATGAACCGATTTCGACAATTTTGCATTCGTTGGAAAGGTCTCGGGCTCCGCAAGGTTTATAGCTAAGAAAATTAGTTGTGCATGGCATCGTACCTTAATGCAAGCTGCTGGAACTTCACGCACCGTAATTAAAAATACGAGTAATAAAAATCATCAATAATTGTTTTAAATAATTTCAAATAGATTATCTTCTATATATATATAAAAATAAGTCGGGTTTTCCTTCCTGACGAAATAACTCCAGAACGCATGAACCGATTACGACAATTTTGCATTCGTTGGAAAGATCTCGGGCTCCGCAAGATTTATAGCTAAGAAAATTAGTTGTGCATAGCATCGTGCCTTATTGCAAGCTGCTAAAACTTCACGCACCGTAATTAAAAATTCGAGTAATGACATTAGTGAGAATTATCAGAATTATGCTTGGTTAAGTCAACGAGCAATTCTTGCCGAGCAACGAGCAAAGAATAATGATGTACACGCACTGAATTTCACCATTCAATCTAAAATTGCTAGCGATTTGGTGACATACCAATGATTCCGACTGGTTGACTTCAAACGATTGCAATTTCCAGTTCGCCTTGCGTTCGCAATAACAAGTCGCAAGGCCAATCGCTTAGTGTTGGCGGGATAAATTTCAAATTGATTATTTAGAAAATCATTGTTTTTCACATGGGCAGTTATACGTTGCCTGTTTACGAGTTGGAAAACCATCCGCTTTGTTTGTGTTAACGTCAGACCAAAAAACAAAAAATGTGGTTTACCAAAGAGCACTTCAATGAAACGGATAATTTGCGGATTCACTTTTATTTACTTAGAGAAGTTCAACTAAAAAACACTTCATTTTTGTAATCGAAATAAATTCATTACTGTTGTATAATAAAATAAAATGTTTCCTTTTCAAATATAAAACAAACAAAAAATTTCTTCATCTTTCTCAGGAAAGCATCTGGTGGCGAAACGGAGTTCGTCGGGTTTGCTAGTTTAATATATTATTTATTCATTGAAATTTTTATTAAACTTTGGTTCGTGTAGAATAATAAACTAAATAATAATAGTGCCATCTGAGAGTGCAACTATATCTGTTTTAAATCATATAAGGCATGTATTATAGATAGGCATTGAATATTAGGTAAAATAATTGTTGTATTTCAATTTACAACAAATTTTACGAAAGGACCTAATAGATACCTTTCTTATTAATTATTGATAATTGACTTTTTTATTTGTTTACTTACTTACCTTTTGGTACTATTGATGAACTATTTGCTGAATTTCACTATGATTAGGTAGTTTAATGATTTTGTGTTTCTTAATGGTTATTTTCTAATAATTATTTCTCATAGTTAAGTAAATTAACTTAATTGAATAAATAGGTCAGAGTCGAATGACATTTGATTACTTAATTGGTTGCATGTCTGACATAATAAAACGAATTCTTAGGAGAAAATACTGAAGAATATTGTCTTAGTTTTATTACTATAAGCTGTTTATTTAATTGCCAGGAAGCTTTTATTTAATGTCTTTTATGTCATAAGAAAATTGTTTTAATAATATTAGGCGTTGTCTATTTAATTGCCTGTTCAGTGCAGTTTGCGGAGAAATCGAGCTTTTTTAATAATATTTTCAAGGAATGTATTTTATTTACACACCTGCAAGGTATATTATTTGCAGTTTGTTTCAATAAAATGCATTTTTGATGCATCTTCGTACGCACAACCGAGGCTGGAAATTTTCTGGGTTTTTCTGTTGGCTGTTACAAGACATTTTTATTTGTTTATTTATTCATTGAGGTCCTACGATACAATATTACTTAGATCTCTAAACTTCATCAGTATTACAAAAAATGTAATAATAAATTCAACACCAATATTCTCATTTTTATGTCTTCGTATTTTTTCTATCAATTGAACATCAGTCATTAAAATTAAGCTAAGTCATTATGACAAAAATAATGTGCAGATATGTACCAAAAATCCATAAAAAGTGATAATCATTTGTTAGTCATATATCATAACCAGTTTTAACTCGTTTGATCGTTTCATCGTAATACATTATTTTATATTCGAAAGTGAATATGTATAAGATTTATTTTCGATCGACTTGCTTTCAGATTTAATCAAGGCTGAATTATGATTATAACTGTATCATTAAACTATTTTTTTTTAGATTTGTTGAATATGGCACATTGGAGCATTTAATCTTAATAAATGTGTAATTTGAAATAATAATATATAATATAAAAAAAAGTATTTATTGGATAGGGGAAAAAAGTGTTACGAGAACACCAAAAATTTTGGTTTGGCATATTCAGATAAGGAAATCTATGTCGTTTGCTATATTTCTTAGGTGTATCAATTGTAAAGATAAATCCGAAAATAGAAAATCAGTAAAATCAATGAACTTTAGTGATTTTTTAAATTTTTTTATTACCATATAATTACAATCTGCTTGGTAAGGCGTTCAGAATTTTTGGTGGCAAATGTGTAAATATAAGATTTTAAAATGCTTCCCAGTGGTATTTATTTTAGGTTTGAAAATTGATGAGATAAATTTACAGAACAGTAAAAATAACTTTCCATTATTTATTTATTTTTATTTATTTTAAATATATAGCCCACAGATTTCTTCCAAGAGGATTCTAAAATACAATTATTTTACATAATGAAAAATTACACAACACAATTAAAATACAAAATTACAATATATAGTTATTAACATAAAATGCTTAACATAAAATTACATATAATGCAGAATATAACAATATTATTTATAAACAGAATAAGATAAAATAATGAGATATTTGAAAAGAAAATAAAAAGGTTAACTTGTGCAGATAGAGATTATTTGATCAGGTAAGAGGACATGAGTAAAATAGACGAATTTAAGAGAGAATCAGATTTAGGAGTAGGATAATTGAAAAATAATTGTGAACAATAAAGGATAGTTGATTAAGAATAAGAGGACAGTCTATAGAATTATTGCAAAGTTTAAATAAGAACATAATTGTACAGATAAATCGACGTGAGGTAAGGGAAGGAATACCAAATTCTTTTAGTAAAGTGTTGTGGTCAAAGCCACGTTCAGGGTAAATTTTATATGTTTTATAATAAAGATATTTCAGAAATTTTTGCTGAACCTTCTCTATCGCATCAGAGTTGTTGATTTGATGAGGATACCAAATAATCAAACCATATTCTAATTTTGAAGGTACATTAGAATAGTATATGCAAAGAATTGTTAGAATTGAATTGTTTACAATTTCTCAGTATCAAACCTACAGATTTATGTGCTCTATTACAAATATCAGTTATATGATCAGTCAAAAACAAACCAGAATCAAATAAAACTCCTAAATCCGACATTTTATTACATCTATCAATGCTGGTGTTAGAAATTATACGTTGTATGGATCTAAAGGGTTAGATCTTTTGAATCTTCTGGGTATATTTGATGAGAGCAAGTCTCTGGCGAGTTGGTTCGAATGACCTTAAAGTCTGATTTTGTACTCAGATGCATGTCTTCTGATTTCTTCTGCTCCCGTGAACATATTGGGGAGCGGTTGGATAAGCCAGTTTGGGACATACATGGGAGCCTCCAGTATTTTTTTAATAAACCTATTTTGTGACTATTACTATAATCGTTCGGCTCTGGCAAGTGCCTGAATGACATTTGGCATCGGCCATGGCAAGTATGTCACTTGCGGAGCGATCGACATCGACTATCGTGCTGATCACCTCAGCGACGTCAGTTTCACCTGGACAGCGCGAGTCGACGGACCCCTTGACGATTTCGCAGAATTTTTTATGTTCTGTTCTATTTTTTTTTGAGAGTGATTAATCGGTTGTGTTTTTAATATATGTACGGACTTTCTCTTATGGGTAAATTTCTGTATTACATAATTATCAATAATGCTAATATAAACATACATGCTTATACAAATACAGATAATAGTAATATACATGTAAAAACACGCATGCACACACACACACACATATATATATATATATATATATATATATATATATGTATATATAAATATATATATATATATATATATATATAAATTTCTATATATGAACTAAAATATAAGTATATTTTATGATTTTTTTGACCTAAATTATTTTATTTTTCTATCCAGAAAAAAATTCACTTTAACAAAAAAAAATTAACAGGTCAGTGTATCCAGTCGTAAAACAATAACACTAGATTATGTGAATTTTTTTTTGTTTTTCTTTTCTATTTAATATTTATGTTGCTACCTATATATATTTTTAATTGCATTTTGTAATTTCTTTAAATCGTAGTTTATTAGTTGCTTATAATTTATATTTTTATTTATTATCTTATAAATTTTTAATATATTTATTATATTTCATAGTGTCACTGGACAAAAAACAAATTAAGACTCGAAACTTTTCGATTTTTTGAAACCAAGACTATTTCAACATAATTTAGTTTTATTTTTAATAACTGGATTAAATTAACTTTTTAATACCTGTTGAATTTTTTTTTGTTTTAAATTATATATTATTTATCATCACTACAAATATATAGATAAACTTATATTTCCATCTATGCATGGGTTTAAGAAAGAAATCATATTCTAGCAATTGATGTTTTTAAATAATTATTAATAAATTAAATAAATTTCATGAATATATATATATATATATATATATATATATATATATATAATTGAATGTGTAATTTATACGCACGAACATTATCTATTGACGTATTGTCAGGAATAAATTATAGTTGATTGAATTGTTAATTTGTAATTCAAAAAAGGATTGAGTTTAAAAGTTGAATACATGTTTTGCATATATTCATGACATCCATATAAATTGTCTTTCTAATATCCAATATAAATTTAGATTTATTAAATGATATGAAATATATAAGATATGCATATTTTTTGAATGCGTAATATTTTTTAAATGCACAGTGTTCAATTTTCAATATTCATTCAATTATTTTTTCGACTTGGCGGTATTCGAATTCTATAATATTAAAATTGAGATTATTATTATTATATATATGCATAAAAATGTAGAATACCATTTAAAAATCTAGTTATATCTGGAAAGAACTTACATAGTCATCGGTATGTTAATCAACTTTACATTTACTTTAAAAATACATAATTAATGTTGGAAGCCCTTGAAACAAATATTTAAAAATCGGTGACAATGAACTAAAACATTTTTAATGTCATTGTTTGTCTAAGTTATGAACTTTTTGTTTACTATCCGAAAAAATATGAGACTAATTCAAATAATGTTCAAACAAATATTAAATAAACCACCTTGCATTTTAGTGAATTGTAATGAAATCATTTGCAATTGTTTACCGTCGGTCTGATATTATTTGCAGAATATTTTTTTCGACTTAATTATTCGTCGCCAATATAATTAATATTCGATTACTTAGCAAATGTCTGACGTATGCTAAAATTTTGTACTTCGGCATTTGTTATATGAAAATGAGATTTGAACTTTAATTTATTTCGAAAATAGGAGAATTCGATTATTCTAGGTCTTTCTCATTGTATTTTCAGATCATTTTTTCTTAACTGTTAAACGATAAGTACATGATTGTTTCTAACTCCATTTATTTTTAGACAATTATGAAAAGTTGTTCATGCGAAATTTAATATCTTGAGTAAACTACATTTATCGTTCGCGTTTCCGTAATCATGTGATTAGTTTCAATTTTATTTAGAAAGAAAAAACGATTAACTAGAACAGATAATATTATTTTTATGGTTCAGCCGAGTTTATAATTTTTTGTTTCCATTATCTATCCCAATCAAATAGCCCAAAATATTTTAGCAATTGAACTTCCAAAAGGCTTACAAGAACACATTCATTATAATTCTTCTATATATAGGATTTTTTTTATTATTTTTATCAAGTTGTACTTACAAAATAATATAATAATATTTTTCATGTATATACAAAATTCTTTATCTGTAGATAAATGAAATTTTTTATGCTGAAAAACAAATATGATAATATTTATTTTGCAAAGTAAGCATTGCATTAACATTTTCATTAGTAATCAAAGCTGATCAGTCAATGCTTTAAAATTTAGGTAAAATATATTTTATTTGTTACCACGGATGATAAATAAATTATATTGTATAATTGCACAATTTAACTTAATTTATCAAAGCAAAAATCTTTACTACTGGGCAAACTTATGAAACTCTAGTTATTTACTATTTATCCTGGAAATTACCTAATGATTCTTCTTCGCAAGACATATTGAAGTTTAGTACAAGAAAATGTGTAGCTGAATTAAGAACCTAGATTTCATATTATATAATTTTATTTTAAAATGTTATATTGAACTTCGCATCACAAACTAATAATTTTAAAATTTTAACAAATATTGAAACCGGATTGTAAATTCACTTAGTAACTATCGCATGTATATTTAATGCATGCCATATGCTTATTACACGAAACAGGAAATGTATGTCCGTGAAGGCATCGCTTTATGAATATTTTTATCATACATCACTAGTCTTTTCTTACCAATGGTAGTGTTTTTTAATCCAAGTATTATTTATTTCAGACGTGAATTGAATTCTTGCAGTTTTCACAAATATTGATATAAATTAAATCATAATCAGCAAGATGCCGTGCCCGTTTTTGACGCGTTTCAGCAGCAACTACTTGCGTAACTATGCGCCCAATCTTCTTAAGAACTACGCCCAATTTTGTCCAGTGGCGGCCAACGCGATGTCTTCCGTTAGCCAGGGACAGATGCAGGAAGGACAGGCGCAGGGTAAGTAAATAATAATAATAATATTTCTTTATAAATAGTGTTAAGAAATTTAGATTTAGATTATTATAAATATTACAAAGATTACTAGGTTTGATTAAAGCATTTTTAACCATAGTTAATCAGTAATCCATAACTATTTATAACTATTTTTTTTGTTAAAAACATATTCAAGCCTAATCTCACATAACAGATGCAAACAGTAGAAATCATCAGTCAAATAATTATTTCGAAGGTCAATATGATTATGTGTATTCAATATTTATAGAAACTTTATAAATGTCCAAGGACTATAGTTATACATTTCAAAAGTTCATTTTAGTAATTTTAAATATTACTATTTTATGAATATTTTGCAAAGTAAATTTCATAAAAACCTCTTCAGGAGAAAATTATTTTTTCCATTCAATCTTTCAAAGATCTGAAACTTATTTACCATTTTTAAACTAAAATATCTAACAGAATTTAGTAATACTTATATATTATTGAAAAATAACAACATTATTTTTAATGGGGCTAGGTCTAATCGGTTATAATAATTATTCTTCATGTATTCTTCTGTTGATTGATAAAGCCTTCTTTTCAATTATAATTCTCTTCTGAATGAAATGATATTTGAATTCAATAAGCAATTCAATCGTTCATTCAACAAGAAACCAAAATTATCAAAACAATAAACTAGTTCTTTGTTATTCTTGAGCTTGAATTGAAAGTCGAGATGTTATTTGCGATGGCGATTTTTTTTTTACAAATACGACATTCAGAGAATTAATGGAAGTTTGTGAATGGAAAATTTTCTTGTACTGTTGGAATTTACTATGCTTGTTATGGTTCACAAATAAATATGTAAAATTTGAGGTAAATGTTTCGATAAATATAAAAAATTTAGCATAAAAGTAGTAAATATTGTAAATGGTTAGAAAAGTGCTCGTTGATAAGTTAGATAATGTATTAAAAAAGAATCTAATTCAATCTAAATTGTTAAATTTAATATTATTTAATCCAAATTTTATTGTTTATATATATATATATATATATATATATATATATATATCAGTTTCGAAGAACATTTTTACCTCGCATATGGCATTTTAATTGTGATTTTTATCTTTTTAGCAACTGCAACTAAGAGCGATTTATTGGGACCCCAATCTTGTCCCTTTTTGAAAGAATCCAGCAAGTCTTTAGTAAAAGAAGTCAGCCAAGAGATTAAAGATGACATTTTGGATTCCACAGTAGATTCTTTGGAAAATAAAGACGATGTTGCAGTAGAACGTAAGTGATAAGTTGTTATACCAAATGATATTGTAAAAATCAGTACAATGTAATATTCATAATTTTCAGAAGAGCCCTATCCTTATGAACAGTTTTTCCGCGAACAAATTATGCGCAAGAAAAAGGATCATTCGTACCGCGTGTTCAAGAAGGTAATAAACAAATTTTAATTCATTTTTTTTGGCCCAAATTTGAGTTTTTTATTATAACTAATTTAATTTGTAGGTAAATCGCCTAGCTGGTGTGGGACAATTTCCAAGTGCTTTTGAGTACTCTTGGGGCGAAAAACCAATCACTGTATGGTGCTCGAATGATTATTTGGGAATGTCATGCCATCCAGAAGTCAAGGACGCTGTTAGGTAAATGGAAAGACTTTTGCGATAAAAATAAATATTGTAAGAATTTTTTTTTTAATACTTTTTCATTCCATTTTTAGAACTGCTCTGGACAAGCACGGAGCCGGTGCAGGTGGCACCAGAAACATTTCAGGAAATTCTTTGTACCATGAGAATCTAGAAAAAGAGCTCGCCAAACTGCATCAGAAAGAAGCTGCATTGCTATTTACCTCATGTTTCGTTGCAAACGATTCAACCTTATTTACTTTGGCCAAAGCGCTTCCGAACTGCCACATATTCTCTGATGCTGGTAACCATGCGTCCATGATTCAGGGCATATGCAACAGCCGTGTTCCCAAGCACATTTTTAGACATAATGATGTCGCACATTTAGAAGAATTATTGTCTAAGGTTGATATAGGCATTCCCAAAATAGTCGCTTTTGAGACTGTGCATTCCATGACAGGAGCAGTTTGTCCATTGGAGGTAATAAAATATAAATAATTAATTATATATTATATTTTTCAATATTTCAAACTCCGACTTTATGTTTACACATAATTTATCTCATTGATTTATAATTGAAATACTAATTTTGAATTTTGATTCCTTTACTTTACTGGAGCAGTATCAATTCTTGATTATTGAAACCAATAATAATATGCTAAATGGTGTTAATTGTTGTTAATGAAGTAATGTTAATTTGCAGCAATTGTGCGAAGTGGCACACCGCTATGGGGCAATTACATTTGTTGATGAGGTACACGCCGTTGGTCTTTATGGTGACCATGGTGCCGGAATCGGTGAACGCGATGGACAACTCGATGCCATTGACATTGTTTCCGGAACCCTCGGAAAAGCATTTGGCAATGTCGGCGGATATATAGGTACGGATCAAATGATCATTATATAAAACGTATCATAGCATGTAGAATTTCTTTTCATTCATTTTTTCTGCAGCTGGATCATCCCTTCTTGTCGACATGATAAGATCATACGCAGCAGGTTTTATATTCACAACTTCACTACCTCCAACTGTATTGGCTGGTGCTCTACGCGCTGTGCAGATATTAGCATCGGATGAAGGTCGGGAATTGCGTCATAAACACCAGGAAAATGTTCGATATATGCGCAAAAGATTGATGGAAGAGGGCTTTCCGGTGGAACACACTCCGAGTCATATTATACCCATAAAGGTTTGTGGGAAAAATAAGAATATACTTAAAATTTTTAAATGATTTTGTGTGGTTTATTGGATTTCATTAAGTAATCATCAGTCAGTGAAACTGATCAATTACGATATTCATTTATAGAATCGGATTTGATGCACTTCACTGCTTAAAGATTAAATTCATAATCATATCGCACATATTTTTGCTTCATTTCAAATTTAATCACTGACATTTATTTGCATATGCATGTATTGCACTAACTAGGTAATAAATTGTAAATGTGCTTGTATGTCATATTAGCTCGTACTCATTTTTTTGTAACTCTCGTACGATTTTGATTAGAATTTCGGTTCCACTTTTCGGTAAAAGTTATGGTTAACAGACATAGCTGTATTGTTTCGTTTCAATATATTGAATTAATATATTTTGATCTAATTTAGATCAAATTCCATATTAACTTGTGTTATTTGTTAGCGGTAGTGGTATTTTAATTTCGGATGGCTACTAATTGCTGGGTCGTATTTATAGTTGCATTTGCTTGCTATAATTTAATCCACCAATAATTTTGAAAGTCTTCAAATAGAGTAGAATTCAACAAGTGCACCTAACTCATTTTTATATAAGTGAAGTGAGTTTTAACCTACTATTAGAATAAATGTAAGTATTATAGTGCATTTTTACTATTTTTCTATAAGAATCCATATATTTTGCACGAATGTGGTGAGCATGAATTTGTCATTTTCATTTGCTTATCATTTTAATGTGCGCAACATCATTTCATCTTCATCATTGCATTTTCAATATTGATTTCATTGCTAACTTTGTTAGTAAATAGTTGATAATTTTTAGATTGGTGATCCGAAAATCTGCACAGCAGTATCGGATAAACTTTTGAAACAATATGGACATTATGTGCAAGCTATTAATTATCCAACTGTGGCTCGCGGAGAAGAAAAATTGCGTATGGCACCAACGCCTCATCATACTAAACCTATGATGGAGCAACTTTTGCTGGATATGAGAGCCATTTGGAATGAACTGGGTTTGCCTCTAAAAACACCAGTTTGTTCATCGGTAAGAGATAAGAGCTTATCCTTGAAGAGTCATAAATATCGACTTTGAAATGCGAGTACTATATTTTGATTCTTTTTAGGAATGTAAGTTTTGTCGTAAACCTTTATTGTACGATCATTATGAAGCTAGAACAAGAGGCAACAAATACAAGAGTGCTGAACCATGCACAATTCCAAACTGCCCGCAAATGATTGCTGTAGCAATGTAATCATAAACCTAGTTATATCCTTAAACATTATTAAAATTCAGGTTTATTGGTGTGAGTTCATACTCACAAAAATACATGTGCTAATTCTATATTGTGATTCATAATTAAACTAACCTACTACTAAAAATTGTTGTTAATCGAATAAATTTTAAATGTTTTAAATGACCTCAAATTAAATTTAAGGTCTGCCGTGGATCATGAATTTATTTTAATAATAAATTGGATATATATGGGCCAACATTATTTATTCCATGTACTGGTGATAGATTTATTTATTTGGAAATTTTAATGAATAAATAAATTACGATTAAAGTATGTTTTATTTATTTAAAATTGGAATGAAGTGATTATAACAATCATTTATATGAAATTCCAATGAAGAACATGATGAAATAAATATTGTATGCATGGATTGCAAATTGCTTCGCAAAACTATTTTCGGTACTCCACATATAGATTTAAAGTACACTTGTTGAATATTTTTATTTTATTTGAAGACTTCTAAAATACTAGTGTATAAAATATATGTAATACTTAATATACTGAGGTTAACAATTAATGCTTCTATAATTCGAAATAAAGTATGTTTCAAAGATTCTATATACTTCAATATTGAAATGATTCATTTTGATCTCAAAATTTGGTTGTTTTGGGGACGTTTTGACAAAAAATTACGTGGGGGAGAAGAGGTCTAGTAACCATAATTGAATTTATAATCCAATTTTTTTAAAATAAAAAATCCCAAAATATTACGATTTTTTCTAGGTATTAAAAATGCACGTGATATTAGCTGGGGAAGGGGAGTAATGTTAAATATTACCACGTATTACCAAGCGAGAGGGTGGAGTCTTAAAATCCTTAAAAATTGATCACGTGATTATAATGGACTGCCCCTCAGCACGACTTCCGTTTGCAGGTATCGGAAGTTCAGCAACTTGGCTTAAGACAAAATGCCACTTACATTCTATGGACTACAAATCTTGTTTTTAATCGTCTTAAATAAAAAGATAAACATAGAAAAAGAATTTAAAAGATGTAACCGGTGAGTTCTCGATCGCGTTGCCAAACTCTGCGTAGAACCAGTTGTTGCTTTCGCTTTTGTATCTATTCGCGTTGCCGGTCTTCGTGGTCTTCGGCTCGTCGTTACACATGGCCAAAATAGTGTGCGTTCGGACATATAAAAGTATTAGTTCCATTACAAAAGTATTAGTTCCATTATAAAGGTATTAGTTTCATTCTATCTTACGATTCGTTCATTCTATAATTCAATACGGTAGTTTTTCTTTTATGAAGCTCTTCTTTCTTTATACCATTCGGTGTCTGCATTATTTTCATTGATAGCGCGAACTTAACAGAAAGAGGTTATGTAAAAATTGTCTGCTAAAATAATAAACTTTTTTTCGGTGTGTTACTGATTGTGTAATCGGAAATTACTGCCGTTCTGTCGGATATACAGGAAGTTCATAGCATGCGGTATGTAACCAACTTTTTTGCTTTTACTTTTTTTAAAAATGAAACAGGTTTTTATTATAAGAAAAAGCAGTAGAACCATGATAAGATGAAAATGTTTAATACGATTTTTTGCATAATACACCGATTTACACCAGTCTAACCCGCATATTATGCGTTCCCGCGTAAGACGTGCTTTTAGTTCGATTCTGCTAAAGGAATTTATTTGTTATGCTTTATTTCCAAATCTTTTACAAAGATTCGATTAGAACATGAAATCATTTTGTGATACTATAAACTGATTTAATATTTGATTTTTATTTTATTCATATTTATATATTATCTATATATGTTTTTATTTATTGTAAATGCCTTAGAAGTGAGGAAGCTTATAGTTTTTAGCAGATTTGTATTTTTTATTTTATTTCTTTGGAGGTACAAAAATTATTCTGAACTAACAGTAGAAAAGAAGTTTTTTCTGAATATATGTTCTTACTTTTACTTTCTATCTTCTCATTATAAGTTGTGACTTTAAAATAATTGTAATAATATTCTTTTTATCAGTTTGACTGAACGATTTTATTGTGAAATTAAAACTAACATCAAATATAAACCAGACACATTTGTAAATACATAGCTAATATTAATTACATTATAAAGTTTTTGAACTTCAAAACTTTAAATGTATAAAAGTCAGAAAAGGGACACACCATACCTCAGAAACATCGAAATAATTATATATAATAAATTAATTTTGAAAAACTTAATACGAATTGGGTCTTAAATATAGTATTCAAAAATGCTTCAAGATGTTTTGGAATACCGTTTTAGACATCCGAAACCAAATCTGAACTGATTTTATCAGAGCAACAAATTTATGGTAATTTGGCAAAATGTGCGAAATAATTATAAATGTTGTGGGTGGACAATTTATAACAAGCGATAACTTGGAGACAAAAAATATTTCTGAATAGCGATTTTTTTTCTAAACTTAAAGGCTCACAAAGGCATTTTCTGTCAATTAGTACCATCAATAATAATTTGAACACTTTATATATAAGTGAACATCAATAATTCAAAGAATAAATGATGGTCTAATTCTGCCTGCTAACATGTAAAACTACAGATGTCTCCCTTACTAAATCAATACTATATATGAATATTTTTTTTCAGTTATTTTTATTAAACAAATAGTTTTGGTGACACGTGTTTTAAGTTAGTTCACCTATGCTCATGTGTAAAACATCGTAAAAACTATTGTATACAGATGTAAATGTTTTGTATTATATTTATACAAGGTCGTATGCCACAACAAATGCTACCTACTAGCAGATGGTTCATTTTATATATTGACGTTGTCCACACACCGGTAGTTCAAATTAAAATCTAGTCCATCGTGATAAATTGACCACTTGCTTCAAATGTATCTTTCATTGAAGAAAGTTTTACAATTAAATTTTTGTTTGATTAGTTTTGCTTTACAACTTATAAAGTTGCTTCAAAGACTCTGTTTTTTATAATTCTTTTTTTAAAAAAAACAATTTCGCAAAAACAGAAAGTTCAACGAAAATTGAGTGTTGACATTATTTTCATATATCTAATAGAAAGAGAATTCAAAATATTGAGTGACTAACTTCTATAGAAATTTTGTGGTCTACAATAACCTACCATACTTAATAAATTTAATACACGAAGATTAATTTTTATTCATTATCATTCTCTCAGTTGTATAATATCTGATACTTGTTCCTTTTTTGAGTATTGATATCTGATACAACTTTCTTTTACCCGGTGGACCGTGGACAGGGACATAGTAGTAATTATTTTATTATTGACATTGATCAAGGTAAAGTTTCAGGAACGATGTTGAAAACAGTTTTTTTTTTGGCTAAGAATAAACCTTCTACCTTCGTAATCGATAAATCAACGAAATAGATGAACAATATTAATTTCACAGAAAAACGAAACTTCTATGTCGAATTACCTTAAATTACGGGTACTTAAAAAAAAGTACCAGAATCATCAGAATTACTTGCTATTTATGTATTTTTACCTCATTAATTGATGAAATTGATAAAATTATTGTCACCGTCATTTGTTCTATTTTAGCTATACTTCATTCCTTGCCTGTACAAATAAAACTAAACTTGTCAGAATTTTGAATGAAAATAGTTATTTATATGAGACGATCCAGGGTAGTTAATTCAGGGTAGAAAAATAATTTTCAGGAAAACCAATTTGATTTTCATGAATTAATTTATTCGGTGTAATTTTTAAATAAAATTGTTTGAAATGTCGGATGATTCAGCATCCAAACCTGTCAGGGACGTGGAAAGAAATCAAGAATTCCCCAAAACAAGTAAAAACAATTCAAATATTGTATCTACCAATAGAAAATATAAATCGTGCATTGCAACACCAGCACCATCACGAATAACATTTCCAAAAGTTTTGTCGAAAAGCAGGAGCAAAACTTTATTTGGTTTTAAAACAATGAATTCTGCCCAAATTGAATCTGATTTGGGCCTGGAATCGCATTTATTATATTCAGAATTGCTTCAAAAAACCGTTTTGGATACCATTCTGGAAAAAGAAATAGAAAATTCGACATCAAAAGTGGAAGATGAATTAATTTTGTTGCAGAATAGGAAAGAAGATTTAGAGGCAACCATCGGAGACTTTGCTGAAATTAGTACATTGTGCAAAGAATTAGAAAAAATGGATAATTTGGCAGAAAATTTGCAAAATTATGTAAATGTTGCGGAAGGGCAAGTATCAGAGTGTTTGCACCAGAATATAAAACTTGCTGTCGATAAGTTGGGCACAAAAAATATTTCTGTTGATAATATTGATTTGGCTTCTGCTTGTGAAGATTTTAGAAATTCTTTTAAGAAATTGCAGCTTCCACAGGCGTCAAATAGATGTATTGAGCAATGTGAGGTGTATATGCGTAATGTGAATGAAATTGCAGAAAATTGCAGTGAAAAATTAGATGTTTTAGACTTTAATATATTGAATGAAGTTTCTCACCAAATGGACAATTGGTAATACTCAATTAAAATTTTGCAACTTTTGCAGTACTCTCTGCATTCCTCATATTTATCATTAAAATATGAGACTATCTATGAAATCTTTTCTGAAATTTTATTTGCACCTATATCATATGATCAAATATTTGGAGTCATTTATTATTCGAGACGTATTCTCATTATTCTTATTATGGGGTAGATCAATATAAATTCCAGAAATTTATATTCCACATGCCAAATAAAAGATGCAATCGTCACCAGACAGATATTTTATACGCGTGCGAAAATTTATATCATTCCAACTTGTTTAGGAATTTAAATGACGGTGGTCAGTTAAATGCAGGACGTTTCAGAGGTGGCCAACCTTATAATATTTATATTAAATTTATACAAAAATATGAGATAAAAAATTGTCTTAAAATTCTGTAATATGTTTATTATAGAGTTAAATCAGTTTTCTAATAAAAAATTTTGTTTATTTTTGTCGGAAACTTATTTTTATTTTCAACATACGACCTCGAATTCACCACGACATCACATCACAAGTAATTTGTAATTTTACCATTTTTTTAACAAAATAAAATTTTGGATTTATTTTGTGTATCACAAATATGTGGTTGTTAGTATCAACACTTTTATTAAGCTTCAGCTCTTTTATTATGATCTGTTCAATGCGTAATAAAATCCGCCTAATATTTTGCATCATATCAACACGACTTCTGATGGATGCATATGTATAAGGTGTAACAAATATTCAGAGAAACATATG